TCCAAAGAACCAATTGTTGACTCAGGTTTTATGCCACCATAATGGATCAGAGGACACAGCAAAAGGGCTTCTGGGCACTTTTGATTTGAAAACAGCCTTGTTTGCATGCATCACACACCTCTGTACATTGAATCTATGCACTAGGCTGAGCAGAGATTTTTTTTTCAAAACCAGAACAGTAACATAGTCACAGCCACTAGAGATCAAGAGAGGTTTTCTTACAGGCAGAAAAGGTTGCCAATTAAGAATGATGAGTAACATGAACAGATTAACGCAACACTTTAAAGTGTTTTAATGTCTCTCATGTCTTTCTGTGATACATGCAACACCACCAACAAAAATACAAGACTTCAGAAGATAAAAATAAAACCTTCTCTACCCAAATTAGTTTTTAGCAATTCCAACATAGACAAAACTGTAAGAGTCACTTGGTTTAAACTATATAAAGGGATGTATTCTAACTTACACTTGCAATCACTATTTCTGCAAAAGCAAGTGATTATAGTGTAGAGTTGTGATACACTGTCAGACTTCCATCCCAAATACAGCATTTAAAAGATCTCTTTAGTATAAAGAGGCAGGCTCACCTTGCCTACTTCCTCTTAGGCTTTCTAGACATAAAGCTTCAGATTTTCTGGTGGTCAATCAGGATGGGGAGACAAATGGATGCATCAGAAAAAAAGTTATTTTGGGTTGTGCTGTTTCACAAAGAACAACTCATGCAGCCAGAATGGTTGTATGTGTACAAGCAGAAACTGCTTGCCAAGGAATTTGAATAGATAAATCTCCCCTGCAGAGAGATTTTGTCAGGTCAACGGCATGGTGAAGAGACAGGAAGAAAGGTGGGACTAAGGCCAGTTGGAAAGTTGGCAGTTTGTTGGGCATGAGTAGTTCTTTGCTTCATTTCCCTTTTTCACAAGATAAACTGAGTCACTGCATTTAATGTGAAAGAATGAGTGGTTCAGAGGGCTCCTCTACTCAAGCAGAGAAAAAAAAAATAAAGGTATTTTTTTGCTCATATGGTCAAGGGCAACTTGAAAAAACTTAACTGTGAAGATTCCAAACATCAAAATACAATTTCAAACAACCAAGGTTTCTTTTTGCTGTAATTATACGGCTTAAACATATGTATATGAATGTGCATGTAGTTGACTTTCACTTGTATTAAATAGCTGAGAAGGCAATGCATAGATACTTTCTATGCTATGTGCTGCTTCATCTGCTAAGAACAGCTCTTTCAGCAAGTGATGGCAAACTTTCACTTGAATAAAATGCAAACGTATGTTCTATGAAGCTCTGGGAGGTGAGGGAGAGCCTGAAACAGGCTGTCCCTTTTCTTACAAACCACATAGTAAGGGCTGAGCTAAAAATGGGTCAGTTTGGCAAAACAGTAGAGAATCTATTTACTGACACCCCAAGGGCTTCTGAATAATGCTCAAGGATTACCACTTTTGGTATGGCAGTTGTATCTCTCTGGCAGAAACAGAAGGCCAGGGTCTACTCACATGCACAGGAACAGAGCCATCTGCTGTACACTCTCCTGTCTTGGAGATGGCAAGAGCAGTGGAAGCTCCCAGCTCTTTGTTAGACTGCACAAATGTAGAGGGGACACCACGCCATGGTGGAATCCCATTCTCTTCAGGCGAAGCAACTAAGTTATTACTGCGCTTAGGCATCACAGCCTGAGGCCTACTGGGATATGCAGACAGATGAAAATGTTTCGCTGATACAGAACGCCTCTTCAACCGAATCACTATCCCTGGAGCCCTTTAAAAGACGTTTAGATATAATGTTTAGGGACACGGTTTAGCAATGGACTTGGTAGTATCAGGTTAATGGTTGGACTTGGTGACCTTAACCATCAAAATGACTATGTGATTATTTTGAGTGCCTTTATTATGTTTTAAAAGCAACAACTAAAGTCTAAACATTAACAGTCTCTGGAAAACAATTAACACCTTGTTTCAGAGCTCAGTGTGTATAGATAACATGTTCATTTGACATGGATGCTGAAAATGTATCTGGCAGAAAAATAGTTGTTTACAGGAAACAAACCTTTATTTTTAGGAGAAAAAAAATAATAAAAAAATAAAAAAAATTTACTTTCTGCCAGCATTTAGCAGTGTTTTAGCTTGAATGCATTTATTCCACCAGGTGAAAACTTTTTTTGACTTGTGTCTAAAATACATCAAAACTGCTGAAAAGATATGTGCTCTCCCATACTAGCTTTTTGTTGTTGGCTTTTACAAAAAGCTATCACCCTGCTTATCCACTAAGTCAGTACAGACTAGATATATTACTAAATTACCATTCATACACAAGATTTCTTAATAGATTTTCAAAGAAATTATAATCCAATAATCTTTTGTATTAAAAACTGTTGCCATCCCTCAGAAAGTTGCACAGACAATGCATATGTATGAATTTTAATGAGATTTTGTAAATATAATTTTACTTGCAAGTAAATTGTGTGAGTTTAGATAGAGGCAGACAGCAACTGTAAAATTAAATACATGAGGCTAGTGTACAGAAGCCAATGCAATCTTTTTCATCTAGCCTATCAAAAGCACTCATTGGATATTCAACTGTCCAATAGCTTTTAACTATGTAGAACAAGGGCACTGTGTTTACTTTTTGGCTGTCTGAATTGGCTTGGCTGTAGGAAGTGGATGGCATTCAAACAGGACTTGATGTTCCCATGCACAAGCCTCTTATTCTCCAAACTAACATAGGTAAGACAGGAAGTGTTGGTTTTTTGCATCTTAAAAACTAGTGTCTTTAATAGAGTTGCTAGCGTTCCCTATTTGGTAAACTTTAATCATATGCTCTTAAGTACTTCTCTTGGTGCTGTAACTTGTTTTATCTTTTCTCTCATCTTTGCATTCCTTCAAAGACTAGATCCAACCTATTTCCTGCCAAGCAGATCTTTCCTAGCATAACCATGTAGTACATGACAGTCTAAAGTACACTTGGCATAACTGATTAAAAAGAGCCATCAAATTTTATAAATAATTACACTGAATTGTAATTAGTTTTCCCTTATGATGAAAATAAAACTTACTTACAAACATAAAGAAACTTATACGTTGGTAGCTAAAAATTATTTATAGCAATTGGGATGGATAGAAATCTACCGGTTTTTTAAAAAAAATAAAAATTAGACTACTACGCAGGTCATCTTCAGTTTGGACAATCAGTCCACCCATCTCCAAGAAGAATTTTGCTTCTGCCTTTCAAAAAATAATGAATTATGCAACTCTAGCACTTAAAACTTTCTGTTTCAAGTTGTGGTTAGACTTTGCATAGCCATACATATCATGCTGTGTCATTTAAAATAATACCTGGGAGCTTGTTTAAGACTCCTGCAGTAGTTACAGATACTTATCTTCTATTGTTTTCAATTTGCTGGCAAAAGGTATTTGCCAAAATAATGAAAAAAAAAATAAAATTCTAAGCAGGATAGACTGAAGACTTTTTAATAAGGCACTCTATATTTGGAGTGCTGCAGATCAAAAACATACAGGCTGATGGGAATCTATTATTTGTTTATAATTTAAGCTTCCAGTTGGATTAAGCCCTTTGTTTTTTCTCAGCTTCAACTTCTAAGTGATGACAAGCTTTGATGCTATATTGCAATGTCACACCTGGCACCAAAAAGCTTTGTGCAGAGATCCTGGCTGTTTATGACACTGGGAGAGGCTGGGCTGGAGAAGTTCCTCTCCTAGACATCCTGCATACCATCACACTAGCCCATACTCTCTTCTTGTAGGTCAATATGCGGCATTTTTTATCTCCCAGTTTGTATACATGGGTCTTCTTTCTTTCTACTGGAAACCAGAAGACAAGATTTGCCACTTGGCATACTCTGTTTGGCATTTTCCACCTTCCTGCTCCTATTGTTTTTAAACTGTTATAAGGTAGGACACTTGCATGTCATACTGTTCTGCTTCTCAGTCATGTCCCAACCTACCGCCAATTTATTTATTAATGCACTAAGCCACCTTGAACTTAATTTGACAATTGAGCAAAAATGCAGGGATTGAGTCTGGTGAAAACAGTTGTGTTCATAGAGATGAGAGACACAAAAAGCACCTCCATCTGGAGAATACAAATGTTCCCAGGCTTTATGTATCAGAAAACTGACATGCAGGGGAACCATAGGAAACACCACTGTGTTTGCTGTGCTGCCCACAGAATTAATTACTTGTTACACCTTATTCCCTGGACAGCAAAGCTAGAGTAGCCATGGGTTTAAATCTGAAAATATTAACACATAGCACTCTTTTCAAATGGTAACACATTCAGTCATGGTGCATGTTGCCTAAGTACTATTTATGAGGAAATGCTTATTTATTAATGGAAGCTGCAGACCAAAACAATCTGCAATTCAAAAAGTTCATGTTATGTAGCAACTTCTAAGAGTCCATCAGCATCACAAATTTTTCCATAAGACGACATTGCTGCTCTCTAGAAAACTCTGCTTTACAGGTTCTACTAGTAAAATTTTTCTCCTCTGCATTGAGGACAGCTGTAGTCACAGATCACTATACCACATGTGAGTTCCACATCAATAACTACAGATACACTATTAGAAAGACCATAGTTTACCTCTCTAGTGCATGTTTATTTCACACCACCAAGTGCTGCCTCTGATTACAGACGTGTATGATTGAATATCTGGAAGAGCTGATGGAAAAATTTGTACAAAGAAATTACTAATTTAACTCAACTTTCCCTTAGTAAAGCAAACTGGATCAAATCAAATGTACTCTTAAATGACAACAAGGAAGGGCTCAGTCTGCAGATTTATTTCTTAGACTTCTGTGTCACTAGAGCTGTGTGGTGGTGTTCTTGTTGGGGTGATGCTTCTTTAAAAGCACAATAAGGTGACAAAAACGTAGCGTGAAGCATCTGTGCTAAAAAAACACCTCATGAATTGCAACCCAACAGCTGCTTTCTTCACATTGCAGGAACACATACATGAAGTAAACACTGTGACAATGGAAAGATCACTTGAGGCTACCACAATGGAAAACAGCACCTCTTCCTGCTTTGTCATGGAAAGAAAGACTCATGTCAAGATTAAAAGGAAAGAAGTAATGCTAACTAAGCTAAGGAAGAGCTGCTCCTGCACCCCAAAGAAGTTGAAGAACTTTGTCATGGACTTCCTTCCTGTTTTACGATGGCTTCCCAAGTACCAGTGCAAAGAGTACATCTGGGGAGATGTTATGTCTGGGTTAGTGATTGGGATCATTTTGGTGCCCCAAGCAATCGCATACTCACTGCTGGCAGGTCTCAAGCCCATATATAGTCTTTACACATCATTCTTTGCCAACATCATCTATTTCTTAATGGGTACATCCCGTCATGTCTCAGTTGGCATTTTCAGCTTGATAAGCTTAATGGTAGGTCAAGTTGTGGACCGAGAACTTCTCTTGGCTGGATTTGACTTGAATGATGATTTCCCATCAGCCACAGGTGATGGCTCTCTGCAGAATGGCAGTCAGTCCAACACAACTGCCTTCAACCTTACAATTGCAGGGCTGAATGCTGAGTGTGGGAAAGAATGCTACGCTATCGGCATTGCTACAGCCTTGACATTTGTGGCTGGAGTGTATCAGGTAAGTGGTTGCTGACATCCACAGGCAAGGTACGAAGTTTCTAAAGATTCTCTGTATGACCAAAGCTTTGGTTTGACTCTCCACCAATGAGAGATTCAGCATCAGTTCACTTGTAGACTGCTTTCTCCAGAAAGCCTCCTAACAGTAGGCAAGTCTGAGAAAGCATGATGTATGCAGTTCTCTTTGCTACTCTAGCAAGCACAAGCAGAACAGTCCTCTGTGAGATTATTAACATTGTTTTGACACTTGTCTGCCTCTTGGCCTTGCTCCTTTAATAAAGCCAAGAATTCCATACAGATCTTACCATGAGGGAAATTCCCAGGTAGCTGCGTACTTCAACAATGAAGAAATAATTCCGTGTCCCTAGATATTTTAATAAAAGGTGCAGACCCACTCGCTTATTTCAACACAGGTTCAGAATATACTTCTCAGTATTTTGCTATGGGCACTATGTTCTACCAAACTGCTGTCCAAGGTTAGTTCAGAAACAGAAAGGACAAGAAGGGAGATAGACTGGCTAGCCCAGTATTCAGATAAAGCCTGTGCTGGACTTTTTTAAGACTTACCAACATGCTGCCTGTTACAAGTATACTAAAAGAACACTGAATGAAACATGATGAACATACTTGCCTATTAATTGCATGTATATATAAATTGAGACTGAGTTAGTTATCTGCCTGTTTACTAAGAAATTTCAGGTCACATTTATGAACAAAATGCCCTTGTGAAGGTATATTTTACAAAGTCATCAAAGGAAGCAGCAGCAACCAGTTAAGAACAGTACCCTGGAATCTGTGAAAGTTTGAGAGCTCTTCTACCTCTTCTGACCTTAGTGATGACACAAAGGCTGTCTGTACTCCACATTCCCTTCTATTCACAGGGCTAAAATTAAAAACTGCTCAACAGTGCCACTGAAGTAGGGATCTTAGCTGTTGTCATTCAACAAAGCAATGGTCGTAAGTTTAACTTTATTCACTTTACAGTAGCAAAAAACAAAGTTGGCTTTCGTATAACAGAAGCATTTTTAATGCACTGTTCTTTTGCATGGGAAATAAAATTCAGACAAACCACCTAGTGGAGGCACTTCAGACCAGTGCTGGTGTTAGAGAGTTTGATTGACCCCATCTCAAACTCCTCATTCAACTCTTAGGCTTGTAGTATTCCAGAATAGTAAAAGGAACCACATGTTTTTGAAGGGACTAGAAACATCAAAGGATAATTTGTTTTTTAAGATTCAAATAGCCAAATGCTGTCTGCCTCCAGACAATTCTCTCCCATCTTATTTGCAGCACCACTTAAGACTCATCCTTATTTTTCTTTGTCTTCTCAGGTTCTAATGGGAATCTTTCGTCTGGGTTTCGTATCAATGTACCTATCTGAGTCTGTACTAGATGGCTTTGCAACTGGTGCTTCCTTAACCATTTTAACAGCTCAAGTGAAGTATCTGATTGGAATAAAAATCCCACGTAGCCAAGGGCATGGGATGCTTGTTATTACCTGGATTAACATTTTCCGGAACATTTCTCAGGCTAATATATGTGATGTCATCACAAGTGCCATTTGTATTGTGGTGCTGGTCACTGCTAAGGAACTGGGAGATCGGTATAAGCATAAGCTGAAATTTCCTCTTCCCACAGAGCTGGTAGTTATTGTTGTGGCAACACTGGTGTCACACTATGGGAAGTTAAATGAAGTGTATGCCTCCAGTGTTTCTGGAGCTATTCCAACAGGATTTATTCCCCCCAAGGTACCACATTTCAACTTAATGCTCCGAGTGGCTGTAGATGCTTTGCCTCTTGCCATAGTAAGCTTTGTCTTCACTGTATCCCTTTCTGAAATGTGTGCAAAGAAATATGCTTACACAATCCGAGCCAATCAGGAAATGTTTGCTGTGGGCTTCTGCAACATCATTCCCTCTTTCTTCCACTCTTTTGCAACCAGTGCAGCTCTGGCAAAAACACTCGTCAAAACATCTACAGGCTGCCAGACTCAAGTCTCTGGAGTAATTAGTGCAATGGTGGTTTTGCTGGTGCTGCTTTTCTTGGCACCTCTCTTCTACTCCTTGCAGAAGTGTGTCCTGGCTTGTATCATCATTGTCAGCCTTCGAGGAGCCCTGAGGAAGTTCCGAGATGTGCCAGCACGGTACCGTGTGAATAAGGTGGACACACTTGTTTGGGTCATTACCATGTTCGCGTCTGCCTTGATCAGCACAGAAGTAGGGCTGTTGGTTGGCATTGTTTTCTCCATGTTATGCATCATTGTTCGGACACAGCGGCCACGGACAGCCCTGCTTGGTCAGATCCAAGACACCAGTTTTTATGAGGATGAATCAGAATATGAAAATCTCTTTTCTATTCCAAAGGTCAAAATATTCCGTTTTGAGGCACCACTTTACTATGCAAATAGAAATTATTTCCTCAAGTCTCTATACAGATTGACTAACTTAGATCCTAACCTGGAAGTTGCTAGAAGGAAGAAATACAAGAAAAAGGGAAAGCAGCATCTGAAAAAGGAAGACCACACAATTGCTAATGGACTGGGCATTGGAGAAACCACTTTGCAACTAGTTCCTAAACAAATTGATTTCCAAGCCCTTGTTGTAGATTGCTCATCCATTTCATTTTTGGATACCACTGGAGTTAACACTCTAAAGGAAATCCTGAAAGACTATAAAGACATAAATATTTCTGTTCTCTTGGCTTGCTGTAATCCCTCAGTGATAGACTCTCTGAAAAGCGGAGGTTACTTTGGGAAAGATTTTGGAAGTATGCAGGAAATGTTGTTCTACAGTATACACAATGCTGTTCAGTTTGCAAAAGACATGAAGCTGCAAGCAGATTGCCAAGTTTAATCCTGTCTTTTCCTTGACAGTTCACTACAAAAGTGACAGAGAAAGAGGGGCAGTTTGCAATAATTAAATTATCAGACATACCGTTGGCCTTTCTCCCATGAAGATATCTGCTTTTTGTCAGATGCCACACAGAACAGCCACTGGGAATGCAGTCCAGGACCAGGATGAAACATGTTGGATTACTACCTGCACTTTTATTTCAAAATGCAGGCGATGTGCAATAGGCAGCTTGGGATTAACTTCCCCCTCTGCCATGATCATGTGTGACCCAACACGTACATCATGGAAGGTCTGCTGAATGCCAGCTGACTCTCCTAGTGGTTTAATGGCTGGCTTGTGCTAAGAGGGATAAACCATCTCCATAAAAATGCAATGGATCTAGAATATTGGGCACATAATGGTTTAATTCTAGCTTGCAAGGCCCTGCCCCTTCTATAATTCTACGTGTGCTCCAAAACAACTCCCACAGTTTGCATATAAATAAAATGTATAAAATATTGTGGAATGTGGCACGTCTCTTCACCTTGATTACAAAGGCTTAATGATAGAAACTGCCACAGGAAAAAATAAAATAAATAAATAATAAAAAAAGAAACCATGACCCATCACAGGCTCCTCTCAAGACTGTAATTTCCAAAAATCACTGTTGGAGTCACCTGTGTTATTTGCTTCAATTTGTCATAATTAGTTACTGAAGGTTTTGATAGCCTTAAGGATACTGGAAGAAATATGACTCTGATGCACAATTTTGTAATTAATAAGGGGATAAACAAGTTTAAGAAAAATGAATGGCTTTAACTGGCAGCCACACAGTTACCCAGGTCATTGTACCATCCTGTAAAAACAAGTTGCCTCTGGTGGCCAGAGGCTACTCCTATTCAGGGACACAGGAACTATTAAATATAAAACCTCAAAGCTATGATGCAGCACAGCATGTTCTTCCCACAACTGCCTGCCTAGGTGCAAAGAGAAAAAGGAGAAAAGAGGGTAGAGTCAGAAGATAAATCTGCAATCTGCCTGGCAGGGGACTTCAGGTCAGTCACAACTGCACGCCTGGTTGCTCTTCTCTGATACAATGCTAGTGAAGTTTCCAGTAGCATAACTGGGCCAAGCAAAGGGAGCAATGCTTTGTAAGTTGTGTATCCCCATATGTTTGAAAAATACCATCACTGTTTGTACATACTACAGTATTTTGTTGTGTTGGGTTTTTTCCTCCTATCATATTATGCTTTGATTTGAGGTTTATTAAGCCATGTTTTCCAGTGCTGGGTTACTTTCTGTAAAAATATGCATTAACTGCTCTTCATTCTGCTTTGTGTCAAATGATACCCTCAGAGACAGTTCTGTTGTTACATATGCAATTATGCATAGATTTAGATTTTGGTTGTAACACAGTTAATGTTCTGGCCCATGGCATTGGCAGAATATCCACTCTCGTACTCAAGCATATAATTACCTGCACAAAAGGCAAGACAGCTGCCCAGTCTATCTCTACTTATTTGTGATTGTTTCACATACAGAACCCAGCATGGAAGGACATTCTATCACAGCTGTGCCTCTTACAATCAGCAGACTCTCGAAATGGGTTCCATGTATGCAGAACGCATTCATCCTCCATTTCATTTAAAATAAATAAATAAATAAATAAAAGCAAACCAAAAACAAAAACGAAAACACTCCAGGCCAACATATAACATGACTTGCTTGTTCCAACTTTTCAGGTCACTGAATGAAAGAACACTCAAACTGAGGTTCTCCAGGTGCCCCAGAGCCAGTCTGGCTCTCCAGAACAAGTAACTTGAAAAAGGAAAAGCAGTGCATTTCCAAAGGACATAATAAAAATGTCTTCACAGGGATTGAGAATAGAACAGTATTAGGTAAGTGATTCGACAATCACATCTTCATGCACTCGTTATAAAAAAGCACATCAGCTGCACAATGTTAGTACTGCCAGAGCAGTAAAGCCTGGCAGAAATGTCTGTGAAGAGATTAAAGGACCACTGGCAACATTTTCCTGCCATGAAACAATTTAATTACATTATTCCATAAAATGCTGACTTGGTATGACTAGCTTATTTCTGTCATAAAAGCAAACAGGCAGAGCCAAAGGACAAAATATTGCTTTGCATCTGCTTTTGTTTGTTAAAGGGGATATCTCTTTTAAGGTCCTGCCACAGTCCAGCATAAGGAAGTTGGTTTACAGAAGCTACTGTCGGGCAAGATCAATATAGACACTCTTAGGATGTTGTGCCACAGCAAGCTGTCATTGGAAATAAAATAAAATAAAATTGTTTAAGTACAAAAGAACACACTTCCTAGCAATCTGGAATTCTTTTATCTTTATAGGTCAAGCTACCAGACTAAAACATACAGGAAGAAATGCAAAAATACCCTTAACTCTATTGACTAGAAGAAACTGTAAGAACAATTTTCTGTTTCAGTTTCTTTAGCAGAACTGGCTCACAATCAAGTCATTGTGTTGGACAATGTCAAACACAGCAGGGAAACACCTTTCATTGCTATGATATTCAGATGCTGGGAGGCTGTACACTATTTCTAAGGAGTATGTAAAAGGTAACTAAAAAAGCAAGCCTGTTTGCTGGCACATTTATGTTTGCTATGCTGCATTATACCAGGATTAAAGGTATGGAGACTGCAAATGTTAAAAACTGCTGATTCTCTTCTCTCCGGTTCTATCAGCAATTAGGTAACGTGATGTGGAGAGGATCTGGGGATGTGCTTGTAATTCCAACTAGGTTAATACTAATGTTGAAATAAAATCACTATATGCCTTTTAGAAAATGCTATATCCATTATGTAGATTGACTATGTTTTTGTTCACTGTGGTGCCTTGTATAAATAATGTATTCAACAAATTTTAGCATTGCTACATACGAATAGGAAAGGGTTCCTAACTTGAGACTGTGTGAGTCCCATGGAGCTGGACAAAGAGTTAGAGGCCTTCACCTCAAACTCTCCTGTTGAGCAGTGCAGCACGGCCAGAATGTTTGGTCTAGGTGTCAAAATTGATGTATTTTTTGACACTGGTAACTAACAACCTGGGAACTGTCCAGTCCATGAAAGACATCTTGAGTTTCCCTGAAACCTTTAATATTTTTGTGTCACATGACCTAGAGACAGATGTGTGCTTTTGGTTGGAAAATAAAACTAACAGTTCTTTGAAAACAATTTGCCGTGTGGTATACTTTCATAGGTGATAAAATAACAGGAAAACTGGGAATAATGAAAAAGATCAGAGGTAGGTCTGCTGTCCTAGAAAAGCGCTAAAATACAGGGATGCAGTCAGCATTGGGGTAGACAATGAGAAAGAGCATTATAGAAGTGAGAAGGGGAAGATGGAAGCCTTCTATGTGAGCACATCTGCTTCTTGGATGGAACATTTATGGCACATAAATGGAACAACTGTGAGGAAAAGCAATGCCTATACCCGTTAGCCTTCCACAGTGGTGGTATCTCCTCATCCTCTGTTTTCTGTTAGTGCTCTTCAATCAAGTATCCATTATCACCTTCCAAGAAGTCTTCTTTCCTCACCAATCCCATGACATAACACAGTTTTGTTGTTGCAAGGTTCTCACTCAAAACCTCTTCACATCCTTCTGTAAATCACTGGTTCAGGAAGAGAATTGCACATGCACAGAATTCATTTTCAGCACTGAACTCCTCCTGTTGACTTCATTCTTGCCCCTGTTGCTTCTTCCAATCCTAATGTTTGTCTGCAGGCTCCATGGTCTCTCCCATTCTAAACCATTGCCGCTGCGCAGTTCACTGGTCGTCTGTCCGCTACTTAAAGGTATTCTTGTCTTTGACAAATGCACATTCTTCCAAAATGAGCAGGTTTAGCTTGGTTCAAAACAGTAGCAAAGTTTCTAACTTCTGTTTGTCAAAGACAGCTTGAATGCTGAGGCTGTTGGGTTAGAACCCTACCCTTGGGGCACTACAGCTTTTTGGGGGCTTCTTGTTGGATTGCTAAGTTTCCACGCTTCTAGGAGTTTCATTGTGTCAAGGAGGTTCCACTTTGAAACAAGTGCCCCACTCTCTACCAATGCTGAGTAGAAGCCATAAGAGACATATTCCTTTCCCTTAACCACTTGGAAAGCCCAATCCAACTCATGGCACAGCTGAGACTGGCTGCTAGGAGAGATTCTGGCCTCTGAGTACAGATGTGTGTGAGTACAGACTTTCTTTTCAAAGACACTCACCAGTTCTTTTATAAGTCAACTGATGACAGAAACCTGAAAAAATCAAGCCATTTCTCAAAAGAAACCTCTGAGATCTAAGACAAAGACTCCAGCAGTAGCAAGCAGTGACACTTGTTCTTGCCCCCACTGAAACTGGGACTCAGCAAGAGTGAGTAAAAAACCAAGTCCAGTAAGGGAGGGAGACACAGCACAGGAAAAGAATATCTACTGAGAAACTACTACAGGGAAGGACGGGAGGAAGAAGCTGTGTTACCTGCTATATTCTCAGATGAACTAACATACAGAGGCAGCTCTTGGATACAGATGCAAATGTCACCTGTGCACAGGACCTTCAAACACCTTCCTAAACAAACCTACACACACAAGCATACCCTAACACGTAGAAAAAGAACTTGTCCTGTTCCTAATGTACACTCAGAAACACACTATTCTGCTAACACCCCAACTGCAGAGTCTGAGCTCTCCTTCCCCTTGTTGCTTCTCCAAAATTACAAGTGAATTTCTATCTTCCTATGTCTGAGACAGCAGATGTAGTAATGACGTGCATTGTAAATGCACTCAGCTCACCAAGAGCCTGACCCAGGCAGAACTTCAAGAGCTATAACAACTTTTTATGGGATTTTAATAGTTTGTCTTTCCTCACAGACCAATCACTCCTGTTCCAGGTATCTGTATTTGGTTCTTTCTCCTAGTCATATTGGTAGGAGTGTGTTCAGACTGAGTTAAATGAGACTTGGAAGGCAAGGAATTTCAAAGTTGTCCTCCTAAGGTCTGTCATGT